CAAAAGACATGACTGGAATATCTGGTGGTATCAGAAAGTAGGGCTGTGCTAAAAAAAAAAAAAAAAAAAAAAGTGACACTGTGTGTCTAAAGGACACAGGAACCAACAACATGAAAGAACACTTAATGGCCAAATCTAGGAAAACCGAGAAAGAAAATAATGATACTGTTAGCCTACAACATAAAGAATAACACAAATACCCCTTCTTATATTATGAAGTTGAAAGGATGGATAAAGGAAGGAAGGGCAAGGGAGGAATATGAAGACAGTACATACTTCCTTATGGTAGAATCCCAATGAACAAATACAGAAGGAGAATCATAGGCAAGCCCACAGTTAGGCGAGAATTAAGTTTTTTTTTTTTTTTTTAAATGTGGTGAGTGAAAGCATGTAAGCACTATATTTGCATAAAACTCAAAATATGCCCCCAATTACATATTACCAAAGGAAAATTATTAACAGCCACCACCTTAGCTATGTGAAGATATTGCAAGTAACCAGACATACCAGTTCCAGTGATGTCCTGATGTGGTTCCGTGAGAAGGGCAGAGTGTAACTTCCATGGTGTTCTTGACAAAAATGCTTGCATACCTCAGTCTTCATATGGGAAAAGATCCAGTCCAAACATCCAGTAATGATTATAAAATCTCCAACCCATACTCTTCAAAAGTATTAAGTTCCTGATAGCATAGCCAGCCTTCCTAACATTTGTGTGTGCCCACAAAGGCTTCCCTCAGCCATAATCAGAGAAACCTCTGCTTATAGTGGACAGAGGTCAGTGCAGACTCACAGTGGTACAAGACGCTGAGGATAAAGAACAGATGGGGACTCAGCCCTAGATGAAACATTTACACTACCCTCTTCAGGCTCGGGGAACATTGTGGAATCCGGGGGTGGAAAGAACAAAGAACATGAGCACCCACAGGGTGGAGGAGGGCTCTGACATCCGTCTTCTGAACAGGACATGGCCATGGAAGCCATGAACTTGCAGCAGCTGTGCACTGGTCTGGGTCTATATAAGCAGTCAGCTACGGATGGGCGGGGACTCACAGGACTCTACCACCCACCGCTGCACTATTGGTGACTAACCTATTCTGGGATGGGGGTGGGACATGGTATCCAGTTGTGTACTGACTGGCAAGCCCACCAGACTCCAAAGGATAGTTTAAACCTAGGGTCACACAGATATCCTTGTTAAACTCTGTGGGGCACAAAATAAAACAAGAAGTTGAATTAATATGGGAGAAAGAGATTTGTAATGTAGAATGGGGTTCACAGGGGTGGGAGAAAAATAAGAGAGGTTGGGGGGAGCCTAACCAGAATAATTATAAACATGTATGACTCATTGATGAATACAGTTTATTAGTTAAAAAGTATCAAGGTAATGGGAGATAAATTGGAGAACTGTCACAGACTTGAGGGACACAAAGAAAACACAAGTAAACATAGGGTTATAGCTCCATTTGGAATTGTTCTTACCTAGCACATATGGAGCCTCGAACTCTGTCTCCAATGCTGTGTAAACCGGTGTGAGAGCTCACACCTGTAATCCTAGCACTTGGAAGTGGAGGAAGAGTGGGCTACATAGTGACTTTGAGGACAGCCTGGGCTGCATGAAACCCTGTCTCTTCACCCCCCCCCCGCCCCCATATAAACAAAGAAGGCCTGTGAGATAGCTCAGTGGATAGAAGCACTTGCCTCCAAGCCTGAGGACTGGAGTTTGATCCATGGGACCCACATGGTGAAAAGAGAAACCTGACAATTTAAAGGTGTCCTCTGGCTTCCATATGGGTGCTATAGTATGTACCGCATCCCCCCCCCCCATAAATAAGTAAAAGAAAAAACAAACAAAAACCCTGACCTAACTGACAAAAAAGTAAATGTATAGAGGATCCTGGGAAAGGGGAAGCAAGTAGGAAAATGGAGGAAATTAAAGCCCTTCCTATAGACCAGTTAACATTATACTAACAGCAATCTCCACCCTGTAATTTTACCATGCAGTGTAAGATGTTACTATTTGGAAGAGCTGAATAGAGAAACTATCATTGCTGCAACTTTTCTCTAAGTCTAAAATGGTATCAAAATAAATAAAAGCATCCAATTTCCCTAACATCTTCCAAAGGGACTAAGTTTTAAAAATGCTATCTTTATGAACTGAAGAACTTAAATATATTTGTTTCCATCCATTGCAGTTAAAATTCTCTTTGGCCCATCGGAACAGTCAGGCTGGAGACTAAGCACTTTAGATACTATCCTGAGAGCTTTCAATAGCATTCTTGCTTTTGGACAAAGGAAGGTATCTACACATTTCATGGGCCAGTCTGACCCAGCCATCTCCCAAAGACTGCTGGTCTGAAGGGGCTAATATTTATTGTATTTGTTATTGTTTCAGAATGTTTTCTTTTCTCTTTCTTCCTTTTTTTTCTGAGACAAGGTTTCTCTGTGTAATCCTGGCTGACCTGGAACTCTCTATGAAGACCAGGCTGCCCTTGAACTCACAGAGATCTGGATGTTTGCCTCTGCCTTCCGGGTACTGGGGTTAAAAGTGCATGCCATTAGCACCTGGCTTCAGAACATTTTCAATGGCAGATCTAGAACATATTTTTGTTATTTAAAAGATAAAATACACTTTTATTCATTAAAATACTTCTAGATTGCATCCAGAACGAATTTTTTAGTTTTTCTATTAATTCATTGATCTTATAGCTATACCTTCCTGAAGCATACAAAACATTGTGCTTCTCAATGATACCATATAATCACACATTTGATGCACATGCAACTAGCTATAGATGGCTAACCAGTTCCAGCATTATCATCAATAATGTAATTGCTGAAAAATAAACACACACATTTACATTTAGCTTGGTTGTTAAGATCATATGTTACTGGGTACTCTGGAGATGGAAGCAAAAGGATCATGAGTTTGCAGCCAGACTGGGCTACACAGCAAGACTCTGAATCAAAAGAAAACCCAAATAAAAAAATAAAAAGATATATTATCATAGTTACTAACTAGATGTACAAATATATTCACTTAATAGGAATTCACTTTTAAGAATATATTAAGATTTTAATTTTGGCTTATGACTATACAAAATAGTTCCACAAACAAATCTAGAAATAACGACGTATTCAAGAAAACATAGCTTCCATTTCTGATTCCAAACTTAATTTCCTTCTTTGCTTACATATGACCTCTTAAAAATTACCAAGCTTGTCTTTACATTATGGTTAAATGTAAGCATATGTGCTGTATATCGAATCAATAACTAAATGGTAAGAGATAGGTATGTTTTCTCCACTCTGAGTTTTTTCACTGAACATCCTAGAAGTCACCCCACAGTAATCTATAGCCATAGTCTTTATCCTTGGCTTCATGGGCTCTTATTGGCTGGCATTTGGGTTGATTCTAGGCTTCGGTCTTACTGAGAGTGTTATTACAGAGCCTTAGTCAGGGTCCATGAGTGAGTAGGATGGTTGCTGGGACATTGGGGATTTTCTCACAAGGTCTCCTGCAGATCCCAGAATGAGATTCCCAACCCACAAGCACTGTAGCCAACAGTGGATCTGGCTTCTTAGATTTAGGAGTTAGAGCTCCTTTAAAATTGTATTTTTTGTGGGTTTTAGCATGAGTGAACACTGCCCTGAAAGTAGATGGGAAAGAAGGGACAATGGTTCTAGACAACTACACATGACAAAAGTGCTTGCACCTTCAGCCACTTGAATTTTGGGGAGGGGGGAGTCCAGGCTATGGTACCCCTCCTTCCTGTAGCCTTGTGTCAGTGCTGTGGTAGGGGTTATTGATGTCTTAGGATATCACTAATATTACTTCTCTTCATATCACAACCAAATTTATAGTCCCACAGCTTCCTTTGGCTCTGATGCCTTGGTGTACCTTCTGAGAGTCAAGCTGGTGTGTTGGCTTTCACCTTCTTCCCTGCTTGGGCTTCCTTTGGTCTCTTTGGTCTCTGCTGTCCCTTAATGCCCATTTGGTGAAAGGGTGTCTTCTTGGCTTTCTTTGGGAAAAATCTTCAGATACTTCCATGAAAGCCATGGATTCACTCTATTTTCAGAAATACGCATTTTCTCAAAATACACATTTCTGCCTGTATGCAAAATTGTGCCTATCATTTCATGGATAGCCCTCGATGAACACCTTTTCAGAGGCATCTGCTGTCATATACCCTGGACTTCCTTTCCCAGGACCTCCACTTGCCATCTAACCACCAATGACTTTCAAATCCATATCTTGGACCCAGACCTCTGTCCTGATCTCCAGCCTCCAGGACATCCATCCCTGGTGACCCTGGATCTATAGTTGAGGCTGTCCTCTCTCTTTTCTACCCTCATGGCCACTTTTCTGACCATGTCTCAGTGGCTAACTATGCCATAGCCCAGGCAATGGCACCAGTCAGTGACTATTTCCTCATCGCACTGCCACAGCCTTACTCCAAGCCTTCACCAGTGTGACTGTCTTCTATTTCGAGAACCAACCACTCTCTTGCTCCAGTCTCCAGCTAGGGAAGAGGCTTTTCTTAGCATCTACATTAAATCCTGAAGGAGTTTGAAGATGCAATGGATGTTACCACCCAGTACAGCTGTTGCCCATTGCACAGATGGAAGAGTGGAAATTCAATACATGTATTAGGTCATTGCCATGGGGTGGAGGGTCAGAGAAATCCGTAAGATCACTGGCCATGAGAGACCAGGACAAGGAATTTCTGTGAACTTGAATGTAAGGTAGCTATCAGGGAAGACTTCTAAAATAGTGAGTTAAGAAGAGCCCCGAGGTGGTGAAGGATTTATATGGTTGGGAGAAAGAGGGTGATTTTCAGGTGTTAATAAAATATAAGCCGCATTTAAGGGACAGCGAGGACTCCAAATGGGGCCTAGAAAGTTATCTATGGAAATAAGAGTAGAGGAATAAGTGGGGGGAAGACACTGTCCTGGAGTAATTGTATCTCTCTTCCCCACTTTACCCCTTTTGTATCTGCCAGGACCAGCTACTCTTCTGCGATGACTGTGACCGTGGTTATCACATGTACTGTTTAAATCCCCCAGTGGCTGAACCCCCGGAAGGTAATGACGATGAACTCAACAATAACAACAACAACTACCACGCCTACCCCTTATTGGTCTCTTACTATGGTGCAGGCCTTGTGCTAAGGGGGTTTTCATGTTTTGCCTCATTTCATTATCACAGTCCTATGAGGTTAGGTAGAGCTACTCACAGAGGACCAATGACGAGACTGAGGCATAGCGCAACCAGATGACATTCTAACCAACGGTTCAAGGAGATATTTCTCAGATGTGTGGCTGCAATAGCGGGGAGGTGTGAGTTTCCAAGGGAACTGGCACAGGTGTACCAAGGCTGGCTAAGAGGTGTGACAAAGCGGTGGGACTCTTTATATAGTTCCTCTGTTACCTCTGAGCACCCACTTTACACTGAGCAATGGACTTCACAAACCTTCAGGGCTGAGACTTGGTCTCTGATTTGTGGAAATCAAAGGCAAATAGGAGTCACCAGACATTAATGCCTTTAGGCTGGGGCCCAACAGTTAGAAAGGCTGCTACTAATGCTATATTGTCTCTTATAGGAAGCTGGAGCTGCCATTTATGCTGGGAGCTACTCAAAGAGAAAGCCTCAGCCTTTGGCTGTCAGGCCTAGGGCCTCAGGTCACTGAGTGTGACCAGCCACCAGAGAGGCTGAACTGGAGCCCTGTTGGATCCAGATGGAGTTCTCCTCCTGCATATCCACACAGACCAACTGTAAGGAAAATGAATAGTTATGGAAGGACATGAACTCGTGGAACCAAGGGGGCAAAGTCTCTACTCACCTACTGCCTATGACCGCCAGCCCCACACGTGGTACTTCAGCCTGTCCTTCCTCTTTCTACCAGAAGGAGCTTGTGCTTCTGAAGAACAATCCAGCCCCAGCCCTGTGTAAACTTCCTCACATTCGCCCTCACAGTACATGCCTCTCCTTGCTTCCTATTTTAGAGGAAGCCATTTTTTGACTGCTCACCAATCTCTTGTGTGTTATTTGGTGGTGTTGTTTTTTAATCTATTGTGTTTCAAGATCCCTTCACAGTCTCTTCACCTTTAGCTTAGGCTCTTCATCCTAAACTCTCACAGAGGAACAAGACGCTGTGGAGAAGTTGTTATTTTGCTACAAATTTCACCGGAAATGGCTACATTTGGAGGCCATCTTGAAGACGGAAGGTGGAAACCTCTTGGTTAAAGAGATTTGTAGTTTTTGAACCTGAGCAGTGGTATGAATAGCTGGCATGGTCTCCATCCACTGCACCACCACCTGAGGAGGGGTTGAGAGGGCCCGAGAGATGGGAGGGGAAGCTGGGAACCCAGCATAACCAGCCAGTATTTGCTGTTCATCAAGAGAGACTTTGCAAGGGACTCGGTGGTTCCTTGACCTTCAGACCTGTGGTGTCCTTGAGGTGAGACAAACCACAGCCTACAAACACAGAAAAGTGATGAAGATTCCCAGTGCCTCCCAAATGAATTGAGTGTCAAGGCCTGGCTCAATTTCTGCTGATGGGTCTCAAGCATCAGAGAGGTGGGCAAAGGCTGCCCATTCAATGGTCCAATGTTGGATAAAAGAGAGTGTTGGTTTGAGAAACACTTCAGTGTTAATGCTAACTATGAATTCCTTTCCCGGGCAATTTCCTCCTTCCATGTTTGCCAGTGACTACTGAGATGTGACTGGAAGTTTTAGAATGGAGGAGAGATGATCATTACTTAACTAGATCATTGAGCATGGTGATTACTTGTGACCAGGTGGCAATGATTCAGAACCCTCACCTGCTCTTGTACCTTAATCCTCCCCCCATATGAGCTGGACTCCTGTTTGAAATAAGAAAGTTTCCAGAGAAAGAGGTAGGGAGGCCTAGATTCCGAGAACTCTGTGAATCGGACGACAGCATTGTGGGCTGGAGTGGGTTGGGCTGTCTTTGAATCACAGCATGACAACTGACACATTTCTGGAAAAATCATTTGCCCAAAGGGCAGGTCTCAGTGAGCAGGACCCTCGCGCATGCTCGGCTTCCCTGAAATCAGCTCCATCGCTGTGGTCCAGCAGCTTGCAACAAAGGCCTGGGTTATTTTTAGTCTTCAGCTCCTGAAGAAGCCCCTGGAGACCTGGGCTAGTTGGGCCACTCTGCCCAGATGCAGCAGTGCCTCTACCCACACCACAGGAGTCATCCTCCCCCGGCTAATTGCTCTTGGCATGTGGACCCAGGGCAGCCTGGCATGGAGCCAAGCGGTGTGCACCCTAACCCCCACTCCTTTGCAGAGTGACCTGTGGCAAGAGAGTGGGGGTCATTCTCCTGCAGGCCTTGTGGCCTCAGAGCTAGTTAGATGCATACATAATGATCTCATTTAAAGGGCCCCTGTCCAGACAGTGTTTTTGCCTTCCTCACAAGCTCTCTCCTTCCTTCTGTTGGTTGCTGAGCCTGTGTGGATTCTAAAGGCCCAGGGAAGGGCAACTCCACAGAGAGGTACATTCCCTCTTCAGAATCTGCTGGCTTGCTCTTTCTTCCAACAACACCTTAAGCAGAATATCCTCAAAGACTAATTACTTGGTTGGGGATTCGTTTTAAATTAATTTTAGGAGGAAAAGAGCCCAAATATTCTGGAATGCTACACTGGCTTAAAAGTGAAAAAAAAAAAAAAAAAAAAAAAAAACAAGCCCCAAACCCCAAACTGTGGCTCTGAGACTTGACAGGTCCCCTTCTGGAGTGTGTCAGTCCTTTCTCTATAGAAATGCAAATGGAGGGGTGCTCCCTGTTCTATAGCCAGCCTTGCTTGCTCTGCCAACCCACGCTGAGGGGTAACAGGCCTCCCTAGCCAAGTCAAGGCACCAGTTGGAGCTTGCCCACAGTGCTGGGGCTGGCCGAGAGCTCTGGGTGGCATAGGAAGACTCTGGGATCCTGAAGAATAGGCTCAGCCTTTCGGCTTTGGATGCTTCATTTAGTTCCCCATGCAGAAAGTGAGGAGAGCAGGTCAGGTTGTGAGATGCCCTGTCAGGGGGTAACAGACCAGGTCTCCAGAGAAGAAGGTGCTAGTAAAGTAAAATGACTATCATCTTTTCTGAGCACTGGAATGAGTGGCAATCACGGGTTCAGGGTTCTAATGTCCCTCTACTGGAGTAGTATGTGACGTTGGGCAAATCACTTAGCATCCTCAAATCTTGATTTGCCCATCTGTAAAATGGAAATGCTGGCACTTATCTTTTTCCATTCTACACTGACACTGGGAGGGGCCCAGCTTGTCTTCGGGAACTCCAGTTGCTTTCTGAATCCACCTTCTTGTGGATTCTAGTCAAGGCTAGACACCTTCTTGGAAACTCCCTTTTGATAGAAGGAAGCTTACACGTCGAGGGCCAGGTTGTCTGTGGAGGTGCTGGGGACTTGAGGATGAAGATACCATAAATGCATGTGCATGTGGACAGACAGACAGAAACACACCACACACACACACACACACCCACACACACACACACCCACACACACACCCCCACACACCCACCCCCCACCACCACCACCATCAGCAGCATGATGAACCACTTGGAGTGGGAGCCAACTTCTGTGGAGGGTCCTGTGTTCCTGTTCAAATGTAGAATCACTCTCTAGCTGGTTAACTCTGGTCCAGTCACTTTGCCTCTCTGAGCCTTACTGGCCGTGTGTGGGAGGTAGAGAGATATGGCCTGTTTAGAAATCTAATAGGGATACCAGAGTGATGCTGGTACATATCTTGGTGTAGATCTTGCTATTAAGAGGATCTCTTGTCTGTGGTAGCCACTGTCATTTTGTGCAGAGGTCACTAAGGGGAAAGAATGATGCTGTTGAATGCCTCTCAAATCACTGGCAGGGTTGCTGTGTTCTCCTACAGCCTTAGATCTTACATGGTGGCTGAGGAATCCCTGCTGGAAAATCAACTCTTATTTCCTTCTAGACATTTTTGAGACCCTGCATTTGGGGCCTGTAGCAAATCCAGGACAGGCAACCTGGTGAGGAAACAGGAGTGATGCCTCTGATAGGGAGCTGACATTCCTGTCATCTATCAAGCCCTCCTGAGGCAGAAGCCAGCAGGTCCCAAGACTCTGCTGTATTGTGTTTGCCTCCGGGCCAGATAGGAAGCCCAGGCTAGGTGGACAGACAGCTGCTTCCCTTGGCTCAGCCTGAGAGGCCCTCCTGTGGATGGCTGAGTAGGAGAGGGGTGTGTGTGTTACTTCTGCAGGGAGGGTTGGAGAGGCTTTGCAGGGTTTGAGGGAGGAGGGTCTGGGTATCACTCTGGGTACCCTTTAGTCTTCAAGAACAATTCCTTCCAGCCCTCCTATTTAAAATCCAGGTATTTTAAGGAAGAAAATGATGGTTATTACTGTTCAAGTTCAGGAAACCTATGCTCTGCTGCGGTTGGGAGAAAGGTCACCAGTAGCCAGGCTGCAGCAGGTATGAAGAGGGTCATGGCTTCCTCGCCCAGTCCACTTGTGCAAGGCAGCCTTGCTTGGTTGGTGGCCTAGGCAGGATCCTGAGATCCTTGCCTGCCCTCTGCCACTGGGTTTGGAAGGGCTGAGGTGAGAATTCTCTCCCCTTCTATTCACTAATGCCCAACCTTAGTCCTCCTTAGGGAATCCCAGAGTCATGGTCACATCCACATTGCCACTGAAAGTGTTTCAGTCCCAGGCCTGGCTCCAGGCAGGAGCAGTGTACTGGTGTCCCTTTAGTAGGCCAGAATTCCAGAGTTGAAGGGCAGGCATTTGGGGGTCAGTGAGGATATCAGGCAAAACCTAATAAAGAGAAGAGAGGGAAAAGGAGCCTTGAGTGGGTTGAGACCTCACTGAAAAGGGCCAGGGGCAGTGAAGTTATCACAACATGCTTTTTCCTCAGTCCTGTGGTCCTGGAAAACAAAATTGTTTGAAAAAAGAAACAAAAGCCAAACCTTTGCCTGGCTGTGGACACGGAGCCAGCTCTCCTTTCTCTGCCGCACCCACCACTCCCAAGCTCTGGATCCATATTGGTTGTGGGGGTTATCTGAGAGCAAGGAGGGTGGGACTAGTGCCCCTCACCTAGTAAAAGTAGGAAGGACCCCCAGCTCTGGCCTGAGTCTGCATGGATTTCTCCACTCCCACAGATGCGTGTCCTTGTAATATTCGGATGTAAGCTGCTGAGGCCCCTCTGGTCTAGATTGGCTAGGGTCAGGTGACAGATGGTAGCAGAGTGAGATTGATCCTGGCCCACAGCCTTGTGCATGAGAGCAATTTCAGGCCCTGCTGCTGCAAGGCTTGGGCCCATAGGCCCTGACTCTAGCAGCTGGAAAGTGAAGCAGGAGGGCCTGGCCAGCCTTTCCCCTACTACCTGGCCAAGGAGACAAGGCTCCCTGTCCCCCACTCTCTGCCGTCCTTTTGGACCTCTCCAAGAGCTCAGCTTTATCTGTGTCACAGCTGAGAAAGGGGAGGACCTCATATTTTTATTTGTCCCAAGTCCACAAGTCTCCCCACTGTAACTCTAACTGCACCAAATCTAATTTATTAGTAGTCAGACAGGCCTTTGAGGCCATCTATGAGTTGGGTTCCTTTTCCATTCCCCAGCATTCTGGGGCTTGGGGTCTTTATGATCCTCTTTGGGAGACCACCGTTGCCTGCCTTGAGTGTGGGAACAGCGAGACGGATAGATTGGTTCGGGATCTTTGAGAGCTGGAAATGTCTTTCTAACGAGGCTGGAGACCCTCTGGGGTTTGGAGGGTCAGTGGGGTGGGGGACAGGGAAATGTGCTCTGAGGGGGAGTCCAGAGGGAAGAGAGAGGGGAGGATGTGGAAAGATGAACAGAGTGAGCCCTTTGAGCATCACAGAGGTTGCCCCTGGGAAGGCTCAGCTGTAGGGTTGTTCAAATCCGGCTGTAGGAGAGAAATCCAAAGGAAGCAACTCAAGGAAGCCCTGAAGTCAAGGCCGGGAGTGGGGGGGGGCTCCTGCTTTGTCATTTCTACATCAAAGCCCTCTCTCCGAAGAGACAAACACTCACCCCTGTGAGGAGAAAAACTGGAAGCCCAGAGTGGGGTGTTTTAGAAAGATCCCTCTGGGATCTGAGTGAGCCCTGGCTATGCACCCCCACCCCCCACCCCCGCCAACTGATAAAAAGTGATCCTTGGTGTCTGTGAAGCTGTGAGGGGTGTCATAGGGACAGGAGTACAGGGATGCCCTGTTGAAGTCTATGATATCCTCAGGTGGAGGGGCCAGCAGCCTCAAACAAGGAACGCCCCATAGTTTCCCCTTCTTTGGCCTCACCATGAACAGGAGCATTTGTGCTGATGGTGACATTTCCCAGGGCATGGCAGAGGAAGGCAGCATTGGGCTGGCAGGCAGCCAGAAGCCTCTTCCATAGAGATACAATTACTAATAATGACCTCTAGCCTGGAAGCAAATAAGATGGCCATTCAGGTTGGCACCAACTGGGTCTGGCAAACCTACAAAACTGGGGCTGGGAAGGGACATTGTAGGAAATAGAGACAGCCCATGAGGCCCTGGGGCCTTTGTATTCCCTCAGCAGACAACATGGAGAACTCCCAGCCTGTATTTCCACTCACTCCATCTCCTTAGCTTGCCTTTCTCCATCTCTACTGTAATATTGATGATGAGAGTGCATGTGTGCCGGCGTGTACGTGTGTGCGTGTGTGCGTGTGTGCGTGTGTGTGTGTGTGTGTGCACACGCACGCACACACGCGTGATGACCTGAAGAAAGCCTGTCCCTGTAGTTTTCTACAGCCAGAAACTCCAGTGATCAGTCTAAACACTCACCAAGGTTCCCACAGAGGAACTCTCTTGGCCCTTCCCTCACCTCGGCCTATTTGGGAGAAATATTGAGGATCTGAGAAAAAGAAAAGCCTCAATTTTGTAATCAAAAAGGTGCAAAGACTTTATGGCTGGAATTAGTTCTGGGCTTTTGTTGACTTCGTTTGCCCTTTCATGTTTATTCTTGCTGTGACCTTCATTCTCTTGCTTGCCCACCTCCTCCCTTCTTTTGCACCCGTCCTGCCTTCCCTCTAGCCATGCAAATGCTAAGGAGTGCCAGTGGTGGTTGGAAGAAACAGTGGCATAAAAGGAAAATACACCCCTGTGCGTTTTCAATGTGTAGTTGAAGAGGCCTAAATTAAGGACTGGGGGGAAAGCAGCTCAAGAAACATGGCCAGATAATATATGAGTGAAACATGAAAACAGACTCTTAGGGCAGAGACGATGTGGAGCAGGTGGGCTGGGTAAGCAGGGAGCCCCAGCTTTCCAGTGTGTCCGGTCCATGTGGCATTTGGGGAAGCAGACAAATCGTGCTTTTGCAATAAATGGTCAAGTGCTTGCGAGCATTTGTGCTCCTCTCAGGCAAGGGAAAGGATGTCCAGCCTAGTTGCCACTGGGTATCCGCCATGCCTGTCCACCCTAGTTTTTTCCCTGGAGGCAGATGAGCATATCTCTTGCCTGCCAAGAGTCAGTGCTGGGCAAGCTGGTACTGGCTGAAACACTTGGCAGGGCGCTGGATATGCGCAAAGCAATGGACTTGGTTTGCAGGGGCTGGAAAAACAACCTCACCCTGGCCCAGCCTTTGGGT